GTATTTTCACACCAACCCTTTTAAGCTTTATCATACCTGGTAAAGCACTCACTTCTCAAGCAGTAAAGAGTCAGAACGCCATTCATCCCCACTTTTTCTGCAGACGTGTGAAGCCCTCACTTCCTTCCTGCCTTTCTTCTCCTCTTCGCCATATGTTTCTCAACACGGTTTATACCTCGGCAGCAAGCAGTCACCGCCTTATAAACTGGCAATCACAGTATTCCTAATGTTATTACTTTTCATAATTAGTTACAGCAACACTCATTTGACGACTGGCGGAAAGGAGTATTCCTTAGTAATTAAGGTAATGAAATATTCATTTATGCTACCTTTTCAGCAGTCTCACAAATGAGCCAGCCAGGCTTAATGTCCGCCCTGCCTCTGATTTTATTATGATGGCAGACTGGCATATCTGCAATTAGTACTCGCACTGACAGTTAGGCAGTAAGCAGAGGGAGGTGAGGTGGAGCAGCATTGGGTGGGTGCACCCTGGTGCGAATACACGCCCCCACTACCACCCTCCTAAACCCCATTTTTCTCCCCCCTCGAGCATCCTCCTCCCTCCCAACCTTGCCATTTTTTTTATTGTTACCTTTATCTCCTCTTTCCCAACTGTCTCCTCCCCAACGGAGAGGTTACCTTTTCCCAGCGGTGCAAAATCGACTTGACATAACTGTTCATCAGTCGTCGTCCCCCCTCCTCCTACCCCTCCCAGCCTCACCCCCATGGTAGTTTGCATCAAATCAGGACCAGTCAAGCTTCAAGTGGAAATTGGCAGGCCAGAACCTGACAGTGGAGGGAGGGAGGGAGGCAGGCAGGCAGGCAAAGCGACAAAGCAGGCAAATCGTGGCATCAAAAGCCCAAGCTTCTTCCAGAACTGTGAGGTCAACATTTGGGGGGTTAAGTGCTAATCAGTTATTTTAAATCAGCTCAAAATTAAACCAAGAGGAAGAAAACTGGTTCATGCTTGATGGAAAAGTTTGGATTTAGATTTTTCCACCTGCCAACATGTGCATATTTTTCTTTTTTCTTTTTTTCTACATTATTTGCTCCTCACATCGCCAAGAATGCCCCACATTTTCCTCTTTTTTTGTCCTTTTTAAAGATGAAATGAGCTTGAGCAATTTGAGCTCTGCAGAAAAGAAAAGCTTAACAAATTAAACGGAGGTGAAATCCGAAATCGTTTCTTTATGAACCATTGGTTTAAATAAGGCTTAATTACAAGTTACAGAAGTTCATTTCACATCTGTACCCATTTTGTAATCTTTAGACACAGAAATGAACATGCATTTAGATATGGAGACACACACATGCTCACACACCAACTGGCAGGCTGATGGGTTACAGCCGATGCAGATTTCTTTCCTTTTAATTTTTTTCCTTCCCTTTTTTTACCTCCTCGCCGTGGCCCTCAGAGGGAAGCAGATAGGCGCTTTGTGATGAAACTTTTAGTGAATGTGGCTGCTCCAGTTCTGTCGCTGCCACGTCATAAAGCTCAAAACTCTTCTGTGCCCTCACCTCCCCCCCTCCACATAGCCACTGTATTTTTAAGTTAAACAGGAGAGGTGAGCGTTTATGGTTTTTGTTTCCGTTGTTCTCTTTTCCTCTACCTGACCATAAGTGTCACTTTTATATTGTTTGTATCATACCTCCTCCTTGTCCATTCCTCCCATCTTTATCTGTTTCCCCCTCCCACCCATCTGCAGCTTTGCATGTGCTCTGACAGGGCTGATGGCCGTTTCGACGGGGCGACACTGAGGTAAAGCGGTGTGACGGCAGAGTTTTGTTAAGCCGAGAACAAAGGCTCGGAGATGCCGGGCCGAGCCATTGTCCCACACCCTTACAGGCCCCCCGCCACCCGATTTTTTTTTTTTTCAGGATTTAATGCTCTGTTTACCTCCAGCTAATATTCAGAGGAGCTTCTTCTTTTGCCGACCCACCTCAGGGTAAAATAAAAATAGGTGAGGAGCAAATCAGAGCTGTACTCGAGTTTTTGCAGCTTTGGAATAAAATGTCAGTCAAGGCTGTTAGTTTGATATCAGTGACTTCTCCAAACTGTATAAAACTGACAAGTTGTTTATGTGTGTGTGTGTGTGTGTGTGAGAGAGAGAGAGAGAGAGAGAGAGAGAGAGAGAGAGAGAGAGAGAGAGAGCGTCTGGACTGTTGGAGTTGTCCTGCAT